CCCCCCCCCCAAAATTTTTTTTTTTTTTATGTAAAAAATCAAAAAAATTCATGTGTAATTTTTTTTTTTACGTATTAGCCCCACCTGTAGTCCGGTCCTGAATCCGTCTCTGGTCTCTGTGAAACTATCACTTATACAAGCGAGGGAACAACATAAAGGAGAGAGTTGTTAGGAAGATGGGTAAAACAATAATTTTTGTGCATAATTACTCCCATGTTTATGTCATTTATTATATTTGACCGAGATCAAATTTTCCCTACAACTCTTTATAAACCCAAATGGCCAAAAAATGGTCACCCTAACATTTTTCACCCTTCTGAGATTGTACAGGCTAAGATGTTCTCCTAATTAAAATTGAAGATTTTTCTTTCTATTTTACTGAATTTCTTTAGTCCCATAGGAACAAGAACTCAAACCTAAAATTAACCACAATTATGGCCGACAAGAAAACTTTAGCAACTTTCCTATAAATATGTACCTTAATTTGAACCTACCAGTCTCAGCAGTTGCAAACCAGTTTCTCATAGAAAAATTAAACATTTTATAGGGTTGCTGACAATTTTTCTTCAAGGACAACTATCAGGATGCCATGCAAAATGCAAATACATCTATTACCGCGAAGATAGAGCCTTGAGGGAATATTTATTCATATGCCCGATTCAAAGATGTACAGTGATTTTCTAGTGACTTCTGCAAATAAAATAAGCATGACAAAAACCTGCACAGTTGCAACAGCCTCCACTGCACCAGCTGCTCCAAGCAGGTGACCAATCATAGATTTTGTTGAGCTCACTCGTAACTGCAAACACATAGAACAACCCATAATTTTTATCAGGAACCTAACAGTATAAAGTTTAATTACCATGCAGACAAGAAAGAGTTTTTTTCATTATTTGGAAACCTCTTGATTCTGCCCAAAACAATGGACAAGAGCTTGATACTCCTTGAGATTACCAGCTGGAGTGGACGTCGCGTGTGCATTTATATAGTTTACATCTCCTTTGCGTACTCCCAATTGAGCGAGAGCCTTCTCTACGCAGAGAATGACACCAGTTCCTGCTTATAGAAGCGCTCAGAGAGTTAAAATTACATCTCAGTAAATTGCAATAAACAACATCACGCATTTTCTTTTTTCCATGGATATAAAGTATGAGGACTGAACTTGGTCGAAACAGTTGGATAGTCAAAAGATTATATAAACTATTAGAATAAATACAGTGCAATCCAATGCAATAACAATATATTTAAAACAAGAAAATGTACCTAGCCATTTATGGGCACAAACAGAATGAAAATGGGCTGTTACAGAAAAGAAAATAATGAATCTTATTTTCCATATAATGTATTTGTTTCTTTTGAAAGTTGAATAGAAGAATACTGATGTTCTATAGCATGTATCACCCTTTTTCCTTTGGAGTAGGGGTTGAAGGAGGTAACCACGAGAGAGAAACAGTGAGGGAAGGAGTTGTGCCATGAATCTTTGTTGCTGATTCTTCATAATTGAAAGATCCAGTGGTGAGTGCTCAAAAGTAAACCATCTAGCTGTTGACTGTCACGTTTCCTGATACTTTAGAGATTTCCTCGACATTATGCTTTTGGGGTGTCTTCATAGCAATTGGTATATGCTTTGTTCTAGATTTACACCATTTCATACACCCACAATTTTCAGCTTCCAAGTCACAAAATTTTGGTTCAAGATTGGGAGGCTGTGGCAATCATAGCACTTTTGCAGATAAACTGTGATCCTACCAAAGCTTCACATCACTGAGATAGCATAATAAGCTCTAGATATTCCTTTTACTTCCTGATCTTTAAGGTAACTAATACTGATGGAGATAGAGATAGAATTTAAATAGGATTTTAAAATCGGGTTCAATTCAAATTATGTTTATTGATATTAGATTATATTAGTTTTAATAATTGGTAAAGTTCGAGTATATTAAATATTCTTT